GAGAGCAATTTGTATTGTGAAATACTGCTTTCTGTCCATGGTATAAAAGGTTGGTTTACACGCACCCAGATTTGTTGGCAAGATTTTGCAAAGTAAACTTGTCGAACGCCAAAACGTTGGCCTGGTTTTTTTTCTAAGCCTAATTGATCTACGGTGATCAATAGCCATTACGGCTCTTAAATGTGATAAAAGATGATTACCAGTTTTTGAGTGTACATATGAGGCTATCAACTCGATGTAAGATTTGGTTCACTCTTGGGCTGTTTGCAAATTATTTTTCTCTAAAATCAGGTAGCCTTTCCCTCAAAAGTCACATAAATGTGCTCTAAAGTTAACTGAATTGTGGAATTCGAATACAAGTTTATTGTTTAATTTAAATTATAAATTTACTAATGGGAGCCTCGCTTTTAGCCCTGGCTAAATCTATATATTATATTGCCTGGTTTCAATCTGATACCTAAAGTGCATAAATTGACAGAGAAAGCTGGTGTGGCGATGGAGCCTTTGCTGGGCACGCTTTTCCCTTCCAAAGCTACGAAATTATTTAGGTGGTCTTTTCGTATTTCCTATGGTTTACAGTAAGGATGATAATGAAGTTTACACCGCACAGAAAATATTAAGGAGAGCAGGGGCAGGGTTGCCTTTATTAATCTCCTTTTCTATTTTATGGAAAGTAAACACAAAATTAAAGAATTTGTTTTGTACAAGGAGGCTTTTACAAGAAAAATGGAAAGATATTATAATTGATTAATTGCAGTTTGGTAAAATAAATCCACATTATGATATTGTCTTTTGAGGTTGATCAACATATCTTGCAAAAAAAGCAATCAGTTTTACATCTATGATATTCCGCAAGGAAACAACCCTTACAGATTTTACAAGCACCCTTTCCAGGAACACTTGTCGCACAAGTGCAACGTCCTTCTATAGGAATCCAAAGTAAGAAACAATTACCTGACATCCCTTTAGGTTCTTTTAAAATATGAATAAACATTAATTAATTGATTGACACCTTTTACCATTATTAACATAGAAATATTTAAATAATAACACTGTGCTTTTGATAGTTTAGCTGTCATTTAGTTTCCTTATTTTGTTCTATGTCTTCTTCTTCGGTGAAAAGAACCGAACTGATAAAGACAAACTTCCCATTGCCGTTCGTAAAGACAAACATAGCACTTGGACACACGGATTACTGTGAAGTATTTCCTTGCGCAAAAGTGCCCGGCGGCTGCCGGTTACAGGTTGAACAAATTGCGGGTGATGTACAATGTCGTAAAGCCCTCAAGTAAAGACGACATAATGCGGTCGTCCTGATTCTGCTGTTATTCAAACTGCGATAGGTTCGACCTGTTTGTAACTGTTTTTATTCGTTTCGAAAAGAAAACTGTTGCTACCGTTCCAAAGCATCTCCTCCTCAGGCAGGGATGTTGGAAGTTTCTGGACTTATGACATACCAATTAACTATTCATTAATTAAACATGGACTAGTGTTAGTCGATTTAGGCACGAAGGGCCAGTTCGCAAAAGTCTCAAATGTATCCTATTTTCTTGGTAATTTTTATTGTAAATTAACGTTGCAGTCATTGGTTTTGTTGTAGCCAGTAGAAGGAAGCACACGAGCGACATGTGCGTTTGCATAGGCCAAAATGAAGTCATCATCCCTTAGGTTGAAACGCTTGAATGCTTGTTAGAATTCATCTCGAATGATATTTTTCTGTTAGTCTTAATCTGTTTTATCCGTGTGAAGTATAAAGGTCGTTTATACTAGTTTTCAAACTATAATAGGCAAAATCCGTTTATTACCTCTAACAGGATTCATGAGCACTTTCTAGTCTCCTGCTCCAATATTATAATATTTCAACAGTGAACGAAGAAGGGTATTTTACATGTGGCCGAGTAGAAGGAACTAAAAGCAACTAAAAGTTTAACTGACCTATTTCGCTCAATCTGAGGCTTAGCAAAATAATATTTTTACTCTTGTTATTCGTACTTGGTAAATAATAGAAGAAAAGACTTTGTAAGGTGTACTACCCACATCTGTTCGTGTTGCACTGCTGGTGTAACTAGCTAGCCGCGAAGTGAAGGTTACCTGTACGGAAACTTATATACGTGGCTGCTTGCGGATACTAGCGTTGTAGTCTTGATAATAAACAGCAGACAATACAAAAAAAAAATACAACTTACAAGGTTTGCAGCTTAGATAGATTGGAAAATATCCCAGGTAGAAGCTGTTCAATTTTGTTGTTGTACAGATATCTGCAAGAATGAGGTTAATTATTTTAACTGCGCATGTCACAACAACAACAATCAGTCAAAAAAAACCCTCATAGTTGCTTATTGCTATAGTACTGACCTCTGTATGCACTGGTAACTTTATATGCGTGCATTGGAAACTATAAATTGTTTTGGAAAAAACGGAACTACGCTTTAGACACTATTTTGCACGCACCTACCCCCATTAGTTTTCACCCTCCGGCAAGCTAACGTTTAATTTTACTTTTACATAACGACCAACAAGATTCATTTTTGTAATCAGCACAAGTCTATGGTTTGTGTTATTTTAATGTTTAATTAAAACTAGGAAAAGCTTTTAAAGGACAGATTCAACATAATCCCGTTTCATGAAAACAATAATAAAGAAAGGTTTGAGAAGAAAACGATCCAACTAAATTGAGTTGTCCAATGAATTTGTCTTTTGCAACCATTACCTAAAGGCTTAATCTAGACAGCAATTTGTGATTGTTTTTCCAGTTTGTTTTTCAGCTTTAGCTAGAAAGCAATAGTAACTAACTGTAATACTTAAGTTCCAAAGTCTCTGAGCTCTGAGCTACAATAAAAAGCGGGGCGGGTTGGACAGTTCTAGATTATGACCATAAACAACCTGAATCTTTAGCGTTAAAAGGTAACTTTTAAATGCACAAATTGTTCACGCGCGATCCATATTTGTAACCGTACATTAAGTCTAGAAAACAACAAACACCCCAACTTTGAATGGAGGGGACAGGGGAGGGGTGCGGATTCTTTTGTTCTCCGAAGTCACCCTATTTAAGTACAATGTCTCAACAATTTTGTCGCCGATTGTAGAAAGCATTAGTAACTAACTGTAATACGTAAGTTCCAAAGTCTCTGAGCTACAATAATGAGCGGGTGGTGGGGGGGGGTTGGAGGGGTGGGCAGTTAAGTGGCAGCTAGTCTAGTCATCATCATCATCACTTTTATTTCATGATACACGGTAAGAACAATCCGGCTAAATATACAATATACAATATCCCAAAAAAGTTTACAAACTATAGAATTAACGGTAATAGCATTTACAAAGATGAATGTTGAAATAACTAAATAAATAAAATTAAAGCCTGCTTTCCATGAATGCCATGTTCGAGCTAGAAGTTAACAGTTTCCGAAAGACATTCAAAGATTTTGCTTGTCTTACATCAGTGGGCAAATTGTTCCACAGAACAGCCCCGCTGTAGCAGAAGCTATTTCTATAGTAATTGGTTCGTCGCAAGGCAACAGCAAGCTTGTTTTCAGAATCTCTAAGGTTATAAGAATTGAATAAATCGCTGCGTACTATGAATTTTGAAGACATGTAATCAGGTGCAAGGCAATTCAAAGATTTATACACCATCACAGCCTCCCTTGACGACCATGAACAAAGTTTCTTCTGAATTTTCCTCGTTAAAAGGTAATTTTTAAGTGCACAAATTGTTCATGCGCGATCCATATTTGTAACCGTACATTAAGGCTAGATTTTTGTACGTTAATTGTTACTTCCACCATTGGGTCCTTGTCTTTTAAGAATTATTTAAGCACGATGAAGGGACCCTTTTAGGGTTAATGCAGAATACACGGGATGGTGACTTTTTAAAAGTAGACTATGCACGATCAAAGAAAGATTTCCAGAAAAACAAAGTCAGCTGTGTTTTGTAAGGGTTAGTGGAGGAAGGGAGGGATTCAGCGAACATAGGTAAGTTGACACTTACGCGATTTGCTTGGTTCCATTATATCCCCTCCATAATTATAGTTTTAAAAGTTTGGCGTTCTGTAAAGTGTCTTTGCGAGCGTATTTTTTCGTTGTGCGACAAAAACTGCGAGAAAACCTCAGTTGTTCTATGTCGTTCCTACGCTTAAAGGTAAGTAAGGCATAAATTCTTTTCTCATTTGGAAAAGATATACCTTTACATGTTATATAGCAAAGAATTATAGTTCAAGATCTGAAATGATAGCAATTGCTTATGGATGCATTATAGAAACCGCGCTGAAAAGACCTGAAGCACGTACATTAGAGCATTTCCTCTTTCATTTCGAAAAGTTCACTTCTTCCTGGAAGTCGAAAGCTCTTAGTGTAGTTGAAAGAAGACACCATAGTTCAGGGATAACTATATGAGTTCAGAAAACAACAGTATCGGTGCCTATGTTTATTAGGTTTATGTACTAAGGGAGTGGAGAGGGTCCACAATAGGTTTGGCGGGATGCGGGATTTGGCTATTTTTCGTGGTGATATTCGGGATATGAGCTGAAAACAGAAGCGGGATGCGGGAATTTTAACAACCAGCGGGAGCGGGATTTCCTATTTTTATGGGGATGGGATTCGGGAATCGTAAGGAAAAAATAGCGGGATACGGGAATTTAGTTTTGTCTTGACGAAAAAATTCATTAGCGTTGACTGAAAAAAAAAATGGTTCTTAAGTGTGTATACCGCCTTTGTAGTCAAGCTATGAGTGTCAAAGGAAGTGAAGCCTGTCAAATTTTGCCCATTATGACCATTATCACTTTTTTGTGTTGCTCGTCTTTTCCGGTTTTACTATTTTCGTCGTTTTCGTCACTCGGAAAGAGGTATCAAATCACTGAGGTTAGAAGTCACGTTCGTTAAGGTCCTGCACTCATTCCTGTTTTGTCTACGGATTTGACCTTTTTTGCTTTTTCCTGGACGGACCTGTCGGACCTGGACGATCCTTTGGACTGAGCGTTTGTTATTAAAGTAAGTCTGGCCACAGTATGGCCACACCAGAGCTGATAGAAGTGGACAATGTGGTAGACATCATAAATTGTGTGGCTTTATATTACGAGAAAGGTGCCAGTGGTAATGCTTTTCTTCGGAAAGAAAAATTTAGAGCTCCGGTCTCAAGGCAAGTAAAGACCTTGAAAGCCTTAAAAGAAACAGTCAGGTGAGTCGACCTGAGTTTTAATACTGCTATCCATTATTTATTGTTTTCAATGACCTCATTATCCTTGTGTCAGATCTATTATGACCTGGGATATCAATGGCATTTGTGCCCCGCGCTACGGTCGGCGACTAAAGTGGTCTCACTAGCTTGCGAAAGTCAGTTATTGTCAATAATGACGGCAAGTTAAGGATCGTTAAGCCTAAGTTTTTTGTTTTTATTTCATTCCCGATTTCAACCTTTCGCCTTTCGCAACATACAGTCGACTCCCGGTATCTCGAACCCTATATAATTCGAACCTCTCGCTAACTCGAAGCAATTTTCATTCCCCTTCAGATTCTATATAATTTTACCCTCGATAACTCGAACTTTTTCCTATTTCCCTTGACGGTTCGAATTATCGGGAGTCGACTGTATACTATTCTAACCGGAGAAGGTGGACCTTGGAATTAAATGTATACTTATATATGACTATATAAAGACTATGTTAGTTTATAATCAGGCCATACACGCATCAGTTGTCTTAATATGATACATAAAGATACATTTTTCCCCGTGTCTATTTTCTTCAGTCAATTTGGAGGGATTCGCGATGTTTCAAAAAATATTGGGCTTGGAAACCAAATTACCAGCAAACTGGCCAGACTGGATGAAAGTGATAGCAAAGGTGCTCACTGCTTTGCCATAAACACCGATGGGCAAGTTACCCTTGAGCTGCCGTCCATAAGGGCAGGGACAGATATGTTACAATGTAAGTGTTCATCAGTTTCACCGTTTATTTCCTCTTAAAACGAGTGCTGAGTGTTTGATACTATTGTAGACATTGTAGTGTATATCACCCGGATTGTAGACTGTGTCAGTATCCTAAAATGCCGGTTTTTATCACAACTTTTTTCAAGTGTGTCATTCAACCATAAAATATCGGAGAGTTAATGAAGTTAAGATCGTCAAGATCGAAGCGCGTTGTGAAAATTTGTCATACCTAACCACTCGCTACTGGACGACTTACCATTTCTTTATCATAATTTTGTCAACTTGATTTTCAGTAATTGTGTATCCCATTGAAATTGCATTTGCCACAAGTTCGCAAAGAATTGTTGTCCAGGTGAAAACAGTGGAAGGGGCAAGTGCTCCGCAACCAACACCTGCCCCTGACGACAACCGCACATGTCACACTTACAGAGGTAAAAAAACATGTGAACTTCGATTTTAGTATTTCAGATTAAATATGAAATTCAGTTGTGTTATATGAGTAACTGTGAAGAGGATTACATGCCAGGAGGGTCAGGAAGCCGATACTGACCCCATATTTACGGTTGATATCGTTATTTCCAGATGCTTTTGAAAAGTCTATTGACTTATGTGTTCTGTATCTATATAGCCTTATCACAGCTATAGTAATGAATACATGATTGTGGGAAAAAGAGAAATTACGTTTAAAATGAATGTTAGAAATAATTTACGCTGCAAACATCAATTTGTTTTAAAGCATTGGGAGCATAAAATGGTTGGGAAAGGTGGGAAAGGAGGCCCCATTATTTTTTATGAGCTAGAACAAGGGGCCGTGCGTGTTAACTTAGGAAAACTGCGTTCACGAGAAGATGTAGATCAGAAATCCAGTGAGCTTGGACTATCTACTAATGGAACCGTGGCAATATTAAAGAATCGAATCGCCACGCACGTTAAGAAGATCGAGGCAGAATACCAAGAAAGAGGGCTTTCTCCTACTGCTATCAATTTCTGGAATACTTCCGGCGAGGAATCTCAGTTTGAGGCACTACACGTCGTAGATCCCTATATGATCTACGCAGCATGTAAAAGCAAGCAGCAGATTTTTGCCGTTACCTGCTCCAGCGACGGGTATGGGCTTCGAGGAGAGGCGGCAGCAGTTGTAGAGTACCAAAACGAATGGGGAAACGTCGGATCGATGGCCATCTTAAATAGTGACATTTATATTTCGCACCGTCAAGGCATTGAGAAAGTTTCATTATCAACATATTTAAGAGCACGGATTATTTCTTCCGGTCCAGACTACTGTTCCTTGGCTCCCTCCATTGCGCTTTACAAAGATGGTTTGGTCTACTCAGACCCGCAATCGCATCGCATTCTGCACTGGATCAGAAATGAGGAAAGAGTGAAGGTGTTTGCAGGTACCGGTGCAGAGGGCACCAGAGATGGCTTGGCTTCGCGTGCTGAATTCTACCAACCTGCTGGACTTTGTGTGGAATTTGACCACGTCTTGTATATATGTGATGCCCGAACCAACTGTATCAAGGTATTCACCACTCTGCATGAAACCGCTGCATTTCTAGATGCAGTCGGAAAGATATACAAGGCTTTCTCCGTCCACGAGAAGCATGCAAAGTACGAGCTTTGCAATCTACAAGATGCCGTTTTACTGCTTAAAGAAACGTTACAATATCTTCGCCGAAACGAGGCCTTGATTCGCGGTGAAATCCAAAGCTTGCCAAGGTCCCTTAATGGACCACAGGGAAATGTGGCTGAGAAGACAATAGAGTCTGTTTCATTGTTGCAGTCTGGCCTTCAGAGACTTTATGACCTGTTAGCGCCAATGGGTTACACTTGGACCAACCTCCTGAGCTGCATGACATTAGATGTAGAGAACTATCACTCTGTGGTCCATCACAAATCACCTTTATGCACTGCCCTTGAATATGCCAGGAATTTCGGAAACGCTGTTAAGGAAAGTGTAAAGAAGACAACAAACTGGGCGGCATTTTATTATACCAACCCAAAGTCGTGGTATCCCGTTCCAGACCGCGCAGCGGCATTCATTGAAATTTCATTAGCACCACAACTTCCACCTGGGGTAATAAGTGCCCAAGACGTCCAGCTTATGAGGGAATGGGCAGATACCTTTGGAGCTGCAGTTCGTCAAAGAACCGTCCGACAAGAAACGACCATGGCTAGGGCTGGAACGCTCCCCGATTTCTTGTACGAGAAAGACATTGTGCCAGGGGAAAGCGTTGACCTAACAGGAGATGTCGGCCTTCCTGACGAATATGATACAAGTAGCAGTGCGGAAGAAAAAGAAACCGAAGATCAAGTAGGAGAAGGATCTGTAAGGGTCGCCACTTTGGATGGTGAAGCAAACTTCTTGCTTGGAAGAGTGTCTGCATTTGGTCGTGCTGTTAGATTTAATAGCAGGTTTATGTTTTGTTAAAAGAGACCAGCGTGTTTACATACAATTTCAATGTCCTAAACTCCATGTAAACAATTGACAGAATTGGCTTCATCGCCTGATGGAAACTAGCAGCAAAGCAGTCGAATCTTCGTAAGACAGACAGATAACATCAATCTTCCTAATTCCACTACTAATACTGGACTTAAAGTATTGAGGTAAACATGTACCAACGCGAGGACGAAAAAATAATTAAGCAAAACAGAAAATAAAGTTATCGTCGCTAATTGTGCTGTTGAGAACCTGGACCATCAAAACTGACAATTGTTAGAAGGTAAGTCATAACGCCTATTTCAATGATCAAGCAAACAATGTCAAAAATCTCCCCTGCGAAAAAAAAAATGGCTGTACTGTTTCGAAAGCTGTAGTGAGGATGGACGTATGGTCACGTGACTACCAAAATTCCAAAATCTCGTAAAAAAATGGGGCGGGATCGGGATCCGGACGTAAAAAGGAGCGGGATGGCGGGATTGACAAGAAAAAAGGGCGGGAAAGCGGGATTTGAGAACCCCTATTGTGGACCGTCAGTGGAGAGTAGGAGTGAAGGGAGGTGTCTGCCCAAATCATCTCCATCTCTGTATTCTATTTTACTTACACCCTGTCTCTATGTTACAGTTAGTCATATTAAGTATCACTGTTCAAATCCATCATGCTTCGCGGCCCGCTAGTCCCGTTTCATTTTCCTTTTGGTGCGGTTCTGTGGTAATTTTTCGGTAGGTGCAGCTTAGTGAGGACACAAAGTTCAATGACTATATAGTGGTTCAATAACCATAGCAACAGGTGAAAAAACCGCATAGTCGCCTTTTATTATAGGTAATTATTATTATCCTTATTCAACTTACAATACGTATCCAAGTTGACTGAAAAAGTCGTTTTTAATCAAGTTTACGATCACATGGTTTCAAATGCTATTTTTCCTGCGCTTCAATCTTCTTACAGGCAATTCCATAGCACTGAAACTGCACTTATCAAGGTGATGAACGATATTTTGTTAAAGATGAATTCTCAACATGTCACTATGTTAATTTTATTGGATCTCACTGCTGCCTTTGACACTGTTGATCATCGAATACTTTTAGAGAGGCTATCTGACGAGGTTGGCATACGTGGGACTGCTCTGAATTGGTTTAGATCGTACTTGTCTGATAGAAGTCAGCGCGTTTCTGTACATGGAGTTCTTTCTCGTCCTTTTGACTTGAACTGCGGGGTACCCCAAGGCTCATGTTTAGGGCCTTTGCTATTTATAATATATGCGTCCAAGCTGTTTAAGATCGTGGAACATTATCTTCCTGATGCTCACTGTTTCGCTGATGATACGCAACTGTATCTGAGTTTTAAACCACTCGGCAACACTGCTCAAGCTGATGCTATACAAGCTATGGAAAAGTGCATTGACGCGGTGAGGAAATGGATGATTCAAGATCGGTTGATGATCAATGATGATAAAACGGAGTTTTTGTTAGTCGGCACACGACAACAGCTTGATAAATTAGATTCGTGTTCCATAACTGTGGGCAATAATCGTATCAGTCCAAGCCCATGTGTTAGAAACCTTGGATCGTGGTTTGACAGCAACTTAAGCATGACTGATCATATAAACAAGGCTTGTAATGCGGCATTTTATCATTTACATAACTTGAGACGTATTAAGAAATACCTGTCGAGAGATTCTTTAATTACTTTGGTTCATGCTTTTATAACCAGCCGTCTTGACTATTGTAATGGTTTATTGTTTGGCTTACCAAATGTGCAGATCGCTAAATTACAGCGTGTACAAAATGCAGCAGCAAGACTTATTCTTGGCATTGGAAAGTTTTTCACATTACACCGGCGCTTTATGAGCTGCACTGGCTGCCGGTTTCTTTGCGTATTGACTATAAGATTTTACTTTTGACTTTCAAATGTATTTATGGCCTAGCGCCAACTTATCTTAGCGATCTTATTAGTATAAAATCGAATTCATTATATAATCTTAGGTCTACTGGTAAGCTCTTATTGGACCATCCCAAGGGAAAGATGCTTACAACATTGGGAGCAAGATCATTCTCAGCAGCAGCTCCGAAACTCTGGAATGAGCTACCTGTGGAGCTTCGTCAAGCAACATCACTTAACAGTTTTAAATCTCGACTTAAAACCTATCTTTTTAAGAAGTATTTTTATAGTTTGTAACTTAGTTTATTTTATTCTCACGGTAATGTATTTTCGTTTTCTTTTAAACATATGATTGTAAAGCGCTATTGATCAGCACATGTAAATACGCGCTATATAAATTGGTAAATTATTATTAAATTATTATTATTATTAGTCATGCCAATTTCATTTTTATATTATATTAAGACATTGCTCGCCCAACACAGCCAGGCTGCTAGTTTGACCTTTTTGCTCCAGTGCTAGTAATCTGCTAACAATGTTTCAGTAGAAATATGCTTCTGCTTTTCTATGCTTATGGTTAGTCCTGTTTCTTTAAGTCCTGTTATTCAAATGTCTTCATACAACCACTGTTTATAGCCTTGTCATTGTTATAATATGTTTAAAAATAGGCAAGTGGGTGCTCCTCGGACTTAGATTTTAAGGTTAACAATGTATTGTGTGATTTAATTTCATAGAGTGCTCCGACTCCATTTTCTTTCTTTTAGGAATTATTTTTTATCTTATATTTAAGGATAGTGGGAAAGGGATATTTTTAAATATTATTGATTGATTTAAATGTAGGTGCTTCCTTATTTAGAAATCCATAGATGATGATGTGAAAAATTATACAGTGCATGATGCAGAATGTGCTGCTTAGAGAAAGAATGCTTCTTTGACCTAGTCAAGAGTAGTAGATTGCAACATGAAGAAAGTCAGTTAAAGAACTGGAGGCTGATGAAGATGGCTAGGATGATATGGAGCGACATGAGACTATACACAATAGGAAAAATCTCTGAAGAATATATTTTTTCTTTTTTCATAGACTGTATATAAACATTTTTTAAAAAACAGGTTGTAACTGCTTTGTACTCTTTTCTGTTTAATAAACATGTTATTTTTTATTACATTTTCTGAAAACAAAACTTTTCCTTTTCATTGAAAGTTTATGTATACAAATTATTAACAAATCTTATGTGTTTTATTTTTATTTGCCTAGATGGTTTTCATGCTACTCATTAGCTTCAGCCAAATTATGGTTGGCCAAGCGGTCTAGCTGCCCAGCCATAATAAGTTATAGCTAAGCAGCCACCCGCTTGGCTTCGATGACTGCATCTTTAATTTGTTGGGCCTTTTCTTTGAAGTGTTTCAGTAAACAAGAGAAAAAAAAAATTTTCCTTCTTTCAACACACAATTATATTTATATTGCGATTCACAAAACTAGTTGTATAACGACCTCTTCAGTTGATCGTCACAGTATTCAAAATAACATATTAAACAACTTAGCAATGCATGAAAAATAACCTCAAGTAGTAATGAGGCTATTGGGTTACAACAGTCCTTCAGATGCACAAGTAGTTCCATTCACTTTTTGAGTTCATTACCTTATCTTCTCTGGTGATTTTACTAATCAGAACAGACTTTGTGATTTGTCTTAACACCGTGTCAGATCGTGCTCTTCTCTTTGTATCTTACATCTTCTTTCCTCTCTTTCTATTGCAGCCAGAGCAGCTTTAATTTCTGTTCCATCCTCTGGGAACAACTGTAAAATGCAGGACCCCAACCATTTTATATATCTACTACTATTAACATATCTTGGACTCTAAGATAATAAGATATGATGAGCTCATCAGCGCCTTAAGTTAACAAAATGTTGAAAGCCTTGTCTTATCAGGAGCTCAGAAGGCAATCAAGGAAATAGGCCAAGGGAGGGGAGGTCAAAAGTGCAAAATATATAGCCACAATGACAACTGGAGGGCTTCGGAGACAGAGGCCTATTTCCACACGTTTCGACGCCATTATTGTACTATTTGGATGAGCTACACGTGTCATTACGTTGTTTGAAGGTGCTTTTTGCTTACTACAATAATCTGGTACCTTCAACTTTGGGGCCTTAACGCTTTCTGTCACAGGAGTTCTGTAGGGGCTAGCCATTTTGAATTTCACACTTCAAAGCATTGAGTAAGGACACTTACATACATGGTTTCCATTAAAATATGGAAATTATATTACATTGCCTGGTATTGGAAGCAGATTTTTTACCTCTTCTTTCCTTTGTTACTTGAACTGCTAACGTTGCAAAGTTGACAATGCAATTGTTTGATTGCGCTAGATTTTTTTTTTAAAAAAGTAACGTTAGGGAAGCGTTCTTTCCACCAACTATGCTAACGCAAGTCATCATTGAGTGACTGACGGCCAAAATGCCTTTTCGGCTCTACACAAATGTGCCTGGAACAAGTGTACCGAAAACGATTGATTACCTCTGCTTTAAGAAAGGATTTATTACCGATAGATGGACTATATGCTAGCATATCTAAGTTAAGATATGAATTGTACGATTTGAAAAAACGAGGACTGTTTTGAACTATGTGGCACTTGTATGGCATGCAAGGATGAAGGGCAGAGGTTGGAGTTAAATGAGAAAGAAAAATGGTATGTGGATGAGGTGAAGAGGGTAAAAGCGATGGTAGGAACTGTTGTTTGGACTAGGACAAGATCATTAAAAGTGGAATACAAGAAATGGAAGAGTCTTCGGGGTAGAGATTATTTATCGAAGCAAAGAATGAAGAGGCAGGTGAGAGGCGGCCTGTTGATTGTGTCTGAGATAAGAGAGACTTTGAGGCTTTTCACGAGGCTTTGTGACGGAACGGGATATGTTGCACGAAAAGGACTATACAGCAAAAATAACCAAGGCAAGGGAGGATGAAGATAGTATTGCGTTCCAGAGGGAGTGCCGTGGGGACTCGACTAATCTACATAATTGCACATCAAGAGAGGTTTCTTTGGAAGAACGCGAGATACTAAATTGCGGGGATGGCCTTGTACCTAGAAGATATGGTATTACTGGTTCAAGA